CCCTTCAGCTCCAGCCGCTGCCCGCGGCATCCCTCTCATTCCCGCTGCACAGCTGCTCGCTTGCTGTCTAAGATCTCCCTCCAGTTGTCACTCCAGGAGAGCAGCCGTCTCCTTGTGGGGGGCAGGACCAGGTGCCGATTGTGGCAGCAGGTGAACAAGATGTGCTCCCAGCTTGGGGTCTCCTCATGGCCTAGGACAGGAAAGGCAGCCCGCTGTCATCTGGTTATTTTTACTCCCTCTCCCTACTCCAGGTAGGCCAGAGGCCTGGAGGCTGCCAAGGATGACGGATCCAACCTCGAATTGTGTCCTTGTCATCAATGAGCAGGTCCCCCAAGACCACCGTCTTGTCCCTTGTCAGGATAATTCGCTCTAGGAACTGGGGCCCCAGGTGCTGCTCCACCCAGCGGTACTGTGTAGGAGACACAGGTCTGTCAGTAGGGCCTGATGCGAGCCGGAATTGAGGGGCAAGGAGTGGGGTGTAAGCCCTTGAGAGCCCCACCCCCACCCCCAACCTTCTGGTTTCTGGTGGTTTCTTTTTAAAATCAGGATTTAGGCAGCTCCATGTGCGGTGGGGGGGGGCCGGGCAGCCACACCTTCTCACCCACACAGTGGTCGTACTTCAGCAGGGGGCTGGTGCAGATGAAGACCTCCGTGCTGCGGATGAGGAGGACGTGGTCACTGCTGGGAGCCGGGAGCCCGAAGCCCACCCCGGCCTCCGCCCGCCCTCGCCCTCCTTACTCCGGCAGGTCGTTCATCTCCCGCACGGCGTCCAAGGCCCCCGGGATGGGCTCCAGGTCCAGGAAAAAGCCTGGGGCTTCGTACACACTGGCCACTTTGTCCTGAAAAGACAAGAGATCTGGGTCCCGGTTTCTGCCTCTGGCAGATCCAGCTCCAGCGAGGACTCGCAGGGAGCCTCCTAGGGGCTCCGGGCTCCGGCTCGGAGCTGCGGAGGGGGCTTCGCTCAGGGGCTCGCGCCCAAAGGCTCCTCCCCAGGGTGCGCTGCCCGCGGGTTCTGGGGTGACAGCTCTGCTCCATTCACACAGAAGGGGGTGGCCCCGCGAACGGTGGTAGCCGGCCCTGCCCGGGTGGGACCCCGCGCCCCCTACCGCCAGGTCGGGCCGCAGAGCGCGGTACTGCTCGCGGGCCAGGAAGCCGCGGCGCTGCTCCAGCGGCACGTGCGGCTCCCTGGGGAAACGGTCGCGAAAGCCCCGCAGGAGGCCGGTCTCGAAGTCAGCCAGGACGCCGTCCATGTCCACCAGCACGCGTACGCGCCGCGCCATTGCCGCCGGGCCGGGACTTCGGGCCCGTGGGGGCACCAGCCCAGCCGGAAGCGCGGGGAGGGAGAAAGGGGAAGGGAGCGCCGCTTCCGGAGCTGCGGCGCTAGGCGGGGCCGCCGAGTTTATTTGCATAGAACGCTGGGCCGCTCGTAGACTGGTGGCGGTGCAGGTGGCCCTGCGGTTATGTGAAGCCTTCCTAGGGTTAGGGTGCAGGGACGGCTCTGAGGGGCCTTTTTCTGACCCTGCGCTTCTCGTACTCAGCCTTTGTCCCCATCAGCTGCCTCCCAGTTTACAGCAAATGTACCCCACATTACTAGTCGGGGACTGACCTTCCAGGGTTGCAACAAAGGGATGCCCTGAAATACCGGGAAGCGCCGAGCGCGGTGGCTCACGCTGGTAATCCAGCACTTTGGTAGGCCGAGGCGACGGATCACCATAAGTCGGGAGTTCGAGACCAGCCTGACCAACAAGGAGAAACTCCCATCTCTACTAAAACACAAAAATTAGCTGGGCACAGTGGAGCATGCATGTAATCCCAGCTACTCGGGAGGCTGAGGCAGGAGAATCGCCAGCCTGGCGAACAGAGAGAGACTCCATTAAAAAAAAAAAAAAATGGGAGTTTCAAGCCTGGTTTCCCTGGAAAGATTATTTTGATCAGGTACAAGTAATCAGGACTGTCCTCAAGACTTTATGTAGAACTAACATTGCTTACTAACATTGCTTACCTAGAACTGGCATTTTCTACCCCCGTGTAGAAAATGCTTAACTAATAAATTTGACTCTCCTTTTTGTGGATTTCATGAAACTTCCTGACTCTACCAAAATCTATTTACGTACAAACTATAAAGCCAGGAACAGTGGCTCAGGCTGGTAATCCCAGCATTCTGGGAGGCCCAGGCAGATCACTTGAGCCCAGGAGTTCAAGACCAGCCTGAGCAACATAGGGAGACCCTGCCGCTACAATAAATCAATAAGCTGGATATGGTGGCGCATGCCTGTGGTCCCAGCTACTCATGAGCTTGAGGCAGGAGGATCCCTTGAGACCAGGAAGTTGAGGCTACACTGAGCCTTCATCCTGCCACTGCAGTCCAGCCTGGGTGACAGAGGGAGGCCCTGTGAGGGGAGGGGGAGCCAAAATTATAAACACAGATTTAAGTGGCCCATCTCACGAGCCCACTGCTTCCAAATACATGCAACAGAAGCATCGCAAAAACAGTCTAAGAATGTCTCAAGTCAACATGCATACAACTCATAGATACGCAGACATTTCGGAGGTCCAGACTTGCGACTTGAAATTCAAGGGGAAGCTTTCTTGGGGACTGAGCCCTCAACCTGTGGAATCTAAGCTATCTCCAGGTAGATGATTGTCAGAATTGAATTGGAGGGCCGGGATGGTGGCTCATGCCTGTACTCTCAGCACTTTGGGAAGTCCAGGCAGGCGGGTCACTTGAGGTCAGGCGTTCAACACCAGCCTGGGCAACATGGCAAAATCCCATCTCTACTAAAAATACAAAAATTAGCTGAGTGTGGTGGCAGGTGCCTATAGTCCCAGGTACTTGGGAGGCTGAGGCAGGAGAATCACTAGAACCTGAGAGGCAGAGGTTGCAGTCAGTGGAGATCATGCCACTATACTTCAGCCTGGGCAACAGTGAGACAACATCTTTTTTTT